TAGGATTCTTTAGGAATAGGAACCTAAGGATAGCCTATCTTATTTTCTCTAATAAAACATATATTTTATCTATAAACAATTATCTGCCCGAACTGCTACAGACAGAAGGGTATAGTTTCTAGTTGTAATAGAAATTATATTTACCTGTTGGACACTGCTATAAACCTGTAAAGGATCCCTGTAGCCACGTACTGCTGTTAAGAAGGCCACAGTACTGTAACAATATATAATATTGCTATTATAGAATAGTATTTTATTATAAAATAACTTTATTATAATTATTTTTAGCATTATTATTGATAAATAATAACTTAAATAATAGTACATGATATTATTACAATAATTTATTTTATTACTACAATAATTTATTTCTTTTTTTTTTAATATTAAGGTGACCTTTCAGTCATGTACCTTTATTCGATTATAGTATAAGTTTTACAGTATGATTTTTATAACATATATATATTTGGAGAGTACAACTAGCCATACGTACAACTTTTGGTTGTCTATTTAAGTAGTCTGCTTATTACTAAGTTCTATACTAATTGTCATATCTATAACCTGACTAGGAGGTTATCTATTTAAACTCTCTGCGTCTATGTAGTTATACTGTTAATCAAGCAAGAATCTAATATGGATACTTTTAGTTTTAGATACTAACTTAGGACTTTAAGGCAGGTCCTTTGCTTTCAAGAGCTCTTTATCCTCAAGGCAAACCTGCTAGAGCTTTTCGTATTCACAATCCAGCTAATCTAGTCTTTGGTTGATATGCATGAGCCAAGGCTTACACTTGCATCCTAGTTTTCATATTGAGTACTATGACCTGATCACTACTACACAATATACTTCTGCCCTTATAGAGTTCACTCAAACTCCGGTACACATATTACAGACTGTCTACAGTATCCCTGACTATTCCAAACTACTAATTCAGTTATTCTAGAAGGGTTATAACCTGCTCCTGGTTTCTACAGTTGGATTCTTTTCCTTCGGTTACTTTTTTGGCAGCCTGGTTGGTAGAATGCCTTGCTAAATACTTCGGTCTTGTTTAGTTTTGCCAGTTTTTTTGATAATAATCCTTTATATAGTACTATCAAAGATCTGTGCTACTTCTCTATTTAGAACTTGCCAAGTGAGTACCCTACTGCCATATCGGTTCTGTGGCTTTCTGTGATTCAAAGATCTATTCATATAACTCATATATCATACAAAGACCCTGAGATCTTCCAGGTCTGAGGAATTGGTATGACTACAGTTACAGGGTCTCGAGTTTTTTTAGACATGATAATAGTTACTGAATCCATTTTTCAAAATTCAATTTTCATCTACAGTAGTAATTGAACTTGTATTCAACTGCTTGGGGTGTAACAATTTCACCACTTCACTAAGTTACTATACCCAATAATAATTTATTTCATTATTAAATAATTTGCTATATTATTACTTTTTTGTATAATATTATTTTATAATATTATAGTACTATCAAAAGATATTTAAACTTCTATATTTTCTTTAAGACAAAGAGATAGTTGGTCCCTATATTTTGGTTATTATAATACTTTATTTTTGATATACTGCTTATAATTTTTGTCTTGAGTCTTAGGTTATTCTTATTTTCTTCTTTAAATACTATTATAATCTTTGTTTATTTTTCTGTTATAATTGTTATATTTTTTTTGAAATTATTATATTATTCTTGAGTTATAGTATTGTTTTATTTGTATTATTCTTTTGTATATTTTTTGAGTTAGTGAGATGCTATTTATCATCTGATTTTTTAGAGGTGAGAGGGTCTAACCAAAAATCAGATTACACAAATATAGTAGGCTTTATAATGATTGGCTAATTTTTATAAATCATCTTATTATAATAAGATTCTATTAAAGTATGATTTTATATCACAAGATTAAATTCAGAACTACAAATACGAATTTAGGAAGAGTAAACCAGAAAGTTTTTATAAACTGTCAAAGTAATTTGGCAATCCATGAAGTAGTTTAGAAGTTAGATAAGAGGTATGTTTAAGTATTTAGGTTTAGTCTATACGCACAATAAATAATTAAAATTTGCAATTTATATTATAAAAACTTATTCTTCGTAATCCTAACTAATAAAAAAATTTGACTATAATATAGGCTAATAATATGAAGTCGTGAGCCATAAAGCTTATAAATTTTGTGAAGGAAGTTAAAGCAAAGAAGTGCTGAGGTAATTATATAATGATTATTAAACAAAATTAAAGATTAGTCTGATATTAGAAGAGTACTAAGAGCTGTTTATGACTATTTGTTTTATTAGTTAATTGTATTTAATCAATACAGATAATTTCTTATGTATTCAATTTCTTTATATTGATCAATCAAATTATTCAAAGTTAATATTTAATTTGTTTACATTCAATTTTTTTGTAGTGATTAATTACTATTTCAATTGGTTATTCAAAGGTAAGCTGATATTTATTTAATAATATCGAGAGAAAACCAAACTTGGTCTATATAAAATTTATATAATCAAAGTTCGGATTTTTCCTGGTGTCATTCATATATTAATTTACTTCTCATTTAATTTATTCTTATTCATGTTAATTTCTTTTTATTTATAGTTAATAGTCATTTATTAAAATATTATAATACTGTAATTTCAGTATAGTTGAAGTACTTAAAATAAATTAATTATTTTCATTTAATTGTATTAAGCGAGTATTAGAGATCAACTAAAATAATCTATTCATGCTTATAGATATTTACTTTAGAGGTGGAACAACAATTATATGGCAGCAAGTTTCTTTTACAAGAGCTAATATTACTTATACAATAGCAGCACATGGGAATAACATTAACTTCATTTTCTTCATTTATCAATATTGTGCACTTAGATAACTACTTGATGGATATATTACATATCGATACTAAAAATCTGTGTGAAAAGTATTCAGTTGATTAGCAAGCTATGACTATCATTAAAGCGATTTTATTGCATTACTAAAACCAACATATTACAAAATCTGACCAAATCGAAACATAAATCTGGATCTCTTGTTACTAAAACCTTATTAAAACTAAATAGTTAGTGATAAAGTATATTTGAATCTAGCACAACAAAACAGCTTAAGTCAAAAACATTTCTAGTTATCTTACTCTATAGTATAGCTTTGTATAATTCATATATTTTGTATTTTTTAAACAAAATCCCTCAGTTTTAAGATTATATTAGAATAAAAAACAGGACATTTAAATAATCGTGAGAGTTACTAAGTTTTTAGTTTAACTTAACTAACAAAAAAATCATTTTTTTTCTAGTTTTTATATATAAGTGAACTGCCTTTACTATTTTGATCTGAAAAGTTTTAAATGACACTTATTACATAACTTATACTATAATTTATTTTTTGGTTGATTTAATTGGTCAATAGCAAGTGCGTAGTGTGTGTGTAATCTAATTTTTATTCTATACCCTCCTTAGACCTGATCATTATACTATACCCTCTTTAGCATGATCATTTTCTATAACCTAATCATTAACCTATACCCCTCTAGTATGCGTATAATCTGATCATTATTCTATACCCCTCTAGTATATGTGTAATCTGATTATTATCCTATACCTCTCTAATATGCGTGTAATCTGATCATTATCCTATATCTCTCTAGTATGCATATAACCTGATCATTATCCTATACCCCTCTAGTATGTATGTAATCAGATCATTATCCTATACCTCTCTAATATATGTATAACCTGATCATTATTCTATACCCCTCTAGTATGTATATAATCTGATCATTATCCTATACCCCTTCTCATGAAATCAGCGTTGGAAATCATACGAATTTCTAACCTTTACATATTTTATTCAATATAAGATTTTATATATTTTATATATAAAGCTTATTTTTATAACCAGTTTATTATTTGAGTTATTTGCTTTAATAATTTACTAATTTTTGTATTTAAAATACCTACTCAATATCAGAAAAGGATTGAGACAGCATGATTACAACTTGTGGCCAAGATTCAGACAATGAGGGTAACAGAGAAAAATCATTAAAAGTTGTTAAATTAGTTTGGGATCGCTGTTCTGAATGTCGAGTTCGTGTACTGGAATGAATAGCTTTTTTGTGCTTTGCAAGCATGACCGTTGTAGGGAAGTATTTACCACATAATTTACAATATCGTCTTGAGTGATCATCAGAGGAAAGAGAGGAAAGATACGCATCATATGCAGGAATTTTTAAATTATTGAAGTATTGAAGTGTATATAGTATTAAGATAATGGCCATCTCTTTCTTTAATCACTAGAGGTAAAAAACCATTATTTTTATCTAGAAATATAGCAGCGTCACTAGCCCATTTTGGAGTACAACATGACAAATCATCACACTTTTTAATATCAAGAGAATATTTATAAATTTGATAGTAAGACTCGATCCATAACCAAGACACAGATGAATCATCCTTCTTTAAACTTGGTGTATTTGTTTTTTTTAGTATTGTGAATTCAACTTAATCACACGAATTGCTTTCTTTATCGACATACTCAACAGATACAGGTTTTCATTAAATTGAATCTCTTCTCTATAAATCGGCGAGAGCCTGGCCAGCATGTTGAAAATTACGAAGTCCTAATTTATAATCACAAATTTCGCTCTGCGAATTTAAATAGTTTCTAAAATGATTGATTTCTAATATAATTCCTGCAAGTTTTACTAAAAATAGAGTTGTATTATGAAAATTATAATCTTACAATTTATGAGTTTATGTAAGTTAATTAAGTTTAGTAAATCAAATCGTTTACCGTATACCACTACTTACAGTACTCGAGGTTTTATTTAAGAATTTGAATTTTAAAATTTAATATCATATAGCGTGACCATAGTACCCCGAATACAAATATTTTACAGTCAAAATTCAAATTAGTATCTGAGTATTATACTTGGCAATTTTTTATATTAAAATTTTTTAAATTAAGAATATATTAATAAAAATCAATTGATATTGCGTAGGTGTCTCTTATATTATATTCAGGTATTTCACATTCTAATTAGGGCTTAAACAACTATATTGAAATGCCGGCTATTCAAAAGTATTATTTTTGATTTATGAGCTAAATATGAAATAAATATTTAGTTTGCTACTGTATATCAAAAAAGGACATTTTAAACAATGAAATGCAGGCTGGCAAATTACTATAGTAGTTTAAGCCCTAATTCTAACATATAATTCTTTTTTCAGTTCTTTTCATTTTACCAATAATCAATTTATTGACAGTACTATTTATTGACAAGTTTATTTCACCAACAGTATGATTCACCAACAGTCATTTCACGACAAAGTAATTCTGATCATTGTTATTAGGATCAAGTTAGAATTAGAGTTAAGATAGTGTAATTTATAAAAAACTCATCAGTGAAATGAACTGTCAATAGATTATACTGTTGGTGAAATAAATTTGTTAATGAATCGTACTTTCGGTGATTGATTGTTGGTGAAATGAACCAGATCTTTTTTTTTGAAGGCCATCCTTAAAATAGACCCAGAGTTTAGATTCCTTACCCTAAACCTCTATATAAATAAATTTTATAAAATAGAGATCATCAATTGCGATCTAGGATAAGAACCTAAACCTCTGGTCTAGAATAAAACTGGCCTTTTTTGAAGGAGTATCCAAGGTCTTAATCACGTAAGTATTATTTTGAAAGATACTGTGGTATATGGTATTTAAAACTATTACTAAAATTATGTTATTTTTTATAACCATACTTGAAAGTGTAGCCATACTTCTTTCAACAGGGTTGTACGCTGATTGATCTGGTATGTGTGTCCTAACTATAAGGTAATCTAAATCTAAAAATCGAAATAACTTACAGTATTGATTAATATTTTTTAAATGACAAGGATTTTCATCAGATCTACCATCCACAATAATAACCCATAGGGGCTTGACCTTATTGTTATGCTTAAAAATTGTAGAAAATTTTTTATTATTGACTAAAGATATGATGTTTGTTACATGTGAGGCAGATGTTAAACCAAGGTGCTATTGAGCTCTAATAAAAATTGACAATTGGCCATGTTGTAAAGATTCATTTGATTCTTTGAGATCTATTATCAAGTACACAGATAGTATTAATTTTTGCGATGCACCAATAGAAAAATTGTAGTCTGAAACTGATACTGGTTTGTTAATAGATTGCATAGTCCAAAAATGTCTCTTTACCATTAGAATACCAACAGAAACTTTTGCTTTGTCATCTTGCGAGAGTATCACAGTGAAGCTAGCAAAAGCTATAGCAAACTGTTTTGCATTTTTTACAGATGCAAGACAGTAATGCTCATTAATATAGTTTCTCCTATCATCTCTTGAAATGCTAGCAATTTTAACAAAAGCAGAATGGTGGTAGGTTCTAGCTGCTAAACTACAGTTTGAACAAGGTAAAATATAATTTTTCATACTGGTATAGGATATATATATATTATAGTTTGCTTTTAAGATAGTTCAGAGATTCTCTACAGTCCTAACTTTAATCTTTTCACATCTTCTTCGTGCATTGGCT